GTTGCTGTTCTGCTATAAATATGTATCATATATCATTGTAATATGTATATTATATAAATAATGTGTATATATATTTGATAATGACCTGGTAGAATTTGGATCTCTGTAGAAAAAAACAGATCTCACATCTCTGGGCCTTTGTTTCCCCATCTATTAAATGGGCATAAGAAGGGCCCTGTCTAGGATCTTTTGCTCTGTGAGCAGGTTAGGAAAAAGCACATGTTTTTACCCCTACTCGACTTCCTCACTGCCGTGCTTTGCCCTGTTACTTAAGGGGCTGAGGCGGATGAATGAAGAACAGCCCTTTGCAAAACTGAGAAACAGTAGTAGCTGCCTTAATGGCTGCTTAGTGCCCCTCAGCTGCTGATTTGGAAGCCCTTTAATCACTTGTAGCATATGAAAGAGAAAGTGACCTGCTACACAGTTCTCTTAAATGTACGGGTGAGTTCATAGGTGAACCCTACAGGAAGAAGAAGGCATTGCTTAACACAAAGGATTGCCTTGCTTAGGATGGGCTTTCACATGCCAAAGGCTCCCACCCCGAAATGACCCTCAAATGACGCATCTAGGTGATGTCTTTCTAAAGGAGGAGAAGTTCATCCTACGGAAGCCACCTGAGCACCACGCACACAATCTGGAGACCTGGCTTCTAGTCCTGGCCCTGTCACAGAAAGGCTTGTGACCTCGGCCACGTTCCTCTACCTGTTCAATGAAGCCCTGGAGAACACCTTTCCACTGCCCCTCCACGGTTCTACAGTTCTTTTATTCAATGGGAGGTGGAGATGGCATTCAGAATTAATAACACAAAGGAGGTGCCTTTTTAGTTCCTCTTGGCCTGAGTCCCTGCCTCCTGGACAGAAGCTGGGAAACAGATGAGCATCTCACTCCCTGGCCTGGGCCATAGAGTCACAGAGTTGTGGGTGGCTGGGAAGAAACCTCAGTGTTTATCAAGACCCATGTCCCACGGCCCCCCTTCACTCAACAAAAATTTACGAAGCGGTTGTGTCGAGCAGAGCGTGGGCAGAGACTGCAGCTGTTGTGTTCCCTGATTTATCCAGGCTGCCTAGTGCAGCGGCTGGCACATAGTAGGTGTTCATTACACATCTGTTGAATGATAGGTAGTCTCCTGCAGTAGCATCATCGAGGGGAGCCTAGTAAGTGCAGATTCCTGGGCGCACTGCAGACCTACTGAATTGGAATCTCTGGTGATAGGGCTCAGGTGACCGTCATGCCTTCCAGAGTTTGAGAACCACAGCTGTAGTGTCTGGATAAAGCATTGTCCTGTTATGAGAAGGGAGCAAATGCTGATGTGTTTTCTTTTGAGTGTTTGTTGGTAGTGACTAAGATATTCAAGTCAAATAGGTGCATTTTCTGGTAGTCATTTCCTTGGAGGCTGGAGAGTTCTGGCATTTGCACTGGGCACACACATAGGGCTCACTTTCATTAATCTCAGGGAAGTCAAAGCTGATAAAAAGGCAGAGAAGATAGGATTCAAGTCACATGATGTCCACGTTTGGCATTATTATTGCTCTTTACTTGGAAGTCATAAAACAAGGAATGTAGGCCGGGCGCAGTGGCTCACGCCTGTAATCCTAGCACTCTGGGAGGCCGAGGCGGGCGGATTGTTTGAGCTCAGGAGTTCGAAACCAGCCTGAGCAAGAGCGAGACCTCGTCTCTACTAAAAATAGAAAGAAATTAATTGGACAACTAAAAATATATAGAAAAAATTAGCCGGGCATGGTGGCGCATGCCTGTAGTCCCAGCTACTTGGGAGGCTGAGGCAGAAGGATTGCTTGAGCCCAGGAGCTTGAGGTTGCTGTGAGCTAGGCTGACGCCATGGCACTCTAGACCAGGTAAAAGAGTGAGACTCTGTCTCAAAAAAATAAATAAATAAATAAAATAAAACAAGAAACGTGCCAACATTCTAGCTTCCCTGGAGTGGTTAGCTGGCGGGAGGTTTTTCTCACTCCCTTTCAAGGGTCTGTGGCTTGGATTGTGTACAGACCTGAGTTCAAATCTCAGCTGTGTCTCCAACGGCTTGGTCTGGAACTAATTGCTTTAACCCATTCCAAGCTTTTGTTTCCTCACTCATAAAATGGACATCACGATTTACTCTACTGAGGGTTGCCGAAAGGATTAGAGATGGTGGAAACTCAGGTGTTCTGGCACATGCTTAGTACAGAAAATTGCTAAGTTTGGGCCGACATCTATAAACTACCACAACATCTGGGCTGGAGGATTCCACAGCGGTTCATCTAGCTCGGCCCTTTCATTTTATAGGTAGGAAAAGCAGCCTCAGAGAGGGGAAGCAAAGGGCACGAGATCAGCTATCACCTTAGGTTTCTTGAGGGCTTTTAACGAAGAACTTCAAATTCCTCCATGGGCTAGAGAGGGTGAAGGGGTGGAAACTCCGTGGGTGGCTTGTAATGAAGGAATTCTTGGGACAAGATGCTTTTGAAAAGGACCTTAGATATCTCAGGTGGGGACCTTTCTCAGCTAAGTATCCTGCCAGCCAGAAGCCTGTTCTGAGGATACAGCAGGGATTAGCGAGAAGGTCCCCTGAGGCCGAGGCCAGGCAATCTGCGAGCTTTTCTGTCAACATCAGAGTTTTAAAAACAAAAAAGCCTCTGGAAAAGTGCTGCCGAGGCCTCCCCAGGCAAGGGACTGAATGGCACCACGGCTCTGCAAGGCCAAGGCTAGAGGTGACTGGCCTCGGGGACCCTCCAAGTTTGGCCTTAAAACCAGTCAGGGGCCAGGCTGGATCTGGTAGGGACACCTCTGGAAACCATCCCAGACGACTCTTGAGTCTGGTACCCAGGGCAGCAGCAGAAAAATGGGGCCCTGGGAAAGTTCAAGTCCTTAGTGCTAATGGTGATGATGCTGGTGATGATGACAGTGACAATGGACACTTCCTATGTGTCATACGCTGGGTCAAGCAGTTTAATTTATGTACATCATTTTGTTCGGTCCTCGCAAGATCCCTGTGTGGAACAGCACCATTGTTATCCCCATTTTACAGATGCGGAAACTGGGGCTCAGATCCAAATCTAAATGTCCTGGAGTCCAAGGTAAGCCAGCAACCCGTTAGTGCTGGAAGGAAGGCAAGTAACACCGGCCAGTGACTTCAAGGGATATACATTTCATCCTCATTTTAACAAACGAGGAAACAGAGAAGCAGAGGGCTTCGCATTTTTCCCCATGAGGTCAGGCACCATGCCAAGCACTTTACATATACTGTCTCCTCAATCATCGGAACATCCCTATGAAGTAAGTAATTGTAAGGTCCCCATTTGTGAAGATGAGGAAACCCAGGCCTGAGACTAAGTGACTTGCTGAGGTTCCAAACCAGGCAGTGTGAGTCCATGGCCCACGCTCTCAACCTCCCGAGTTGCCCAATACTGGAACAAGACGTGGCAGGGGCTGGACCAGAACCCAGAACTCCTGAGTCCCAGCCTAGTGCTCTGAGGTAGGCTCTCTGTTGGAATGCATTGTTCCTTAAAAGCATGCTGGCCTTAAGCCCAAAGAGTGAAATCACGGCCTGCGGTTCTGGGAACCTTAGGCTGGAGAAGAAGGAAGCTCTTGCTATGGTGTTCAAGTCTGAGCAGGTGTGCTGGGGACTCTCCCTTTGCTTCCTCTCTGGCTGGGAGACCTCGTTGGGAGGGCTGGGTGGGGTGACCCTTATGTGTGTGGGGTGGGAGGAGGGCAGGAGGCAGGCGTGCCCAATAAAACATGCCCAAATCTTCCCGCCTTCTTGCTTTTATCCAGGCCGTGCCCTCACCTCCTGCCTGGCACATAGCAGGGCATGGTGCTGAGAGCTCAAGGTTGGCGTCAGGAGGCCTGAGTTCTGGTTCTGGCTCAGGCACTTGCTCCATGTGCACCCTTGACTGTCAATTTCCTTATCTGTACAATGTGCAAGGTGGTGGTGGCAGAGGACCAAAATTCTGCAGCTTTTTCAGTTAACACATTATTTATTAAGCAACTACTATGTGCCAAGAACTAGAAATACAGTTAAGTGCAAAAGCAGATTTAGGCCCTGCTTTCATGGGTCTTGGAGTCTAGTAAAGACACACAAAGATCAAATCTTCAGGGAAACAAATGTAAAAGGGCAACTGTTACCAGTTTCTAAAGGAAAGGCCTGCAGAGCTTAGGAAGCCCATGACGGTGGCGTGGGAGGAGAGGGAATGGCTTGACAGTCTGAGGGGTAATCCGAAAAGATGCCCTGAAGATGTGGTTACTAGGTGAATGGCTGCTGGGTGTAGAGGCCCCTTGTGAGAGAGTTCCTCTCAAGGCCTGGGGAGGCTGGTAGGACCTCACTGCCAGTCATTGTGGTATTTAGTGCTCACAACCAGCACTAAAAGCTACTGTGGGCCACCTTAAGAGAAGTCATTGAAGTTTTTTGGGGGGAGGGTGTCGGGGGTGACAGGAGAGAGATGGCGAGGTTTAACAGAATATGGGTGGACGCATCCTTCAAGGGAAAGATAAAAATGCCACCTCCTCCAAGAAGCCTTCTCTGATTTCTCAGCCTTTGAACTATGGTAATTTCTCCCTCCCTCTCCGGCTTCGTAACCTAGGTAGAGAAACTCAAGCCTCCGGGGAGTAAGACCTGCCCTTTCCCTCCCTGCTATTGAAGTGCCCCGCTGCTTCAGACGAGGTCCTACGCCTCCCCGAGCCTCAGTTTCCCCAGCTGTGCAGAAGCAGGTTGTCTCGCAGGGCCCGCCCAGCGCGAACGCAACGTGATTCTCTCCGGCAGGAGCGGGGGGCTGCCCGCATTGCTGCGCAGGCAGCCGGCTGCTGGCTGGGGCACCGCCACCCGGCTGCGGGCGCTTTTCTCCGGGCCGGGGGCTGCGGGAACGGGACGCGGCGCCAGACGCTGCGCAGGAAAGTGGGAGCGCGACCCCCGGCTCGCTCGGGCGCCGCGCGGCCCCGCCTCCGCAGCCAGCGGCCCTGCGGCAGCCGGGGGCTCGAGCTCCGCCTTCCGCCTCCCGCCGGCCTCGCTCCCGCCTCCCCCCTCCCTCGCTCGCTCGCTCCCTCCCCCCGGGCCGGCTCGGCTCTGACTCCGCCGCACGCTGCAGCCGCGGCTGGAAGATGGCGGGGAACGACTGCGGCGCGCTGCTGGACGAAGAGCTCTCCTCCTTCTTCCTTAACTATCTCGCTGACACGCAGGTACGGCCCGCCGGGGTCGCGGGCCCGCGGCCAGGGGTGCTGAGCTGCGGGAGCTGCAGCCGCAGCTGCAGAGGCCGGGAGGCAGCGGTGGACGCACTGGGGGAACTGGGGGTTCCAGGCTGCAGAGCCCCCCTTCCGCGCGCCCTGCGATGCGCTCCGTTACGGGGGCTGGGAACTGGAGGTCCCCCGGCGCGTGCTGGAGCGCTGGGGGCGCTACGGCAGCTGGGGAGGGTCTCGCTTCGGCCGCTTGGAGTCCGCCCCCCCGCGGGCAGAGCTGGGGGTTACCACGCTTCCTTGGGGAGGTGGAGTCGCGCCAAGGTGTGGGGGACCCTCAGACTGGCGCTGGGTGTTGGAGGAGCGCCCTCAGCGCCCGGCACTTGCTGCCGTACTTTCACGTGGACTTGTGGCCCCGGCACAGGCGCGTGCTCCTGTCCCCGGAGTCCCCTCGTCCTCCAGCCTCTGGACCCCGAGTGCTGTTGCTGGCCCCCCGCGGGTCCCCACCGGCTCCCGCAGAGCGGAGTTTCCTGCCGGTTGCCGGCTAAGGGCTTGGGGGTCTGCGGGGCACGTGGACGTGCGGGCGGAGATAGCGCCTTCCTGGTTTTGCTATGTGGCGGAGCCCCCTGGGGGAAAAGCCGGGCAGGATGGGGGCGGAAGGACTGTCTGGGGGCGCCTGGGTCCCCCTGCGGCGCGCGGCCCCGGCGCGCGCTCCTCGATGCAGGGGGAAGGGAATGCGAGGCGGCGTCCAGGGCTCAGGCTGAGCCTGGGAGCCCCACTGGCGACACGCGCGTGACAGGAGAGGGTGCTCTGGTGTGCCGGGCGGCGGCGGGGGGGGCCGAGGAAGCCGGTGGCTTGGAGACCGGGAGAGGGGAGGTGCTGGGACAAACAGCTACCGAAAATGTCTGCACAAGGCGTGCGCGCCCCCCACCCCTTCCCCCATTTCCCCCACCCCATGCCTGTTGCAAGCATAAAGTTTGGCTCCAGAGTTAGGGCTTTTTCTCCAGGCGCCCGGCCGCGGGTCACCGGGAGGCTGGGGATGCGGCGGAACCTTGGAGGAGACCCCGGATGCTGGGGCACGCCTGGGCGCGGAGAGGGGCCGCCGGGCGGAACCGGGCGCGGCTCCCGGGGGCTGGTTTGGTACCTGGAGTGGGAGCGCTGGTGCCGGCCCGTTTTGCATAACACTGGAAAGGAGGGGGAAGGCGAGGGGGGGCGGGAGGTGGGAGGAGAGAGAGGGAAACTTTGCTTCTTGTAATAATCTGCCAGTCTTTGGGCGGCAGCAGCTGTCATGGGACCGGGTGGGCGGGGAGAGGCTTGCAAGCTGACTCCTTGCGGTGAAACGCGACTTGGAGGGGAGGCAGCAGCCGCGACGTTCATCTCGGGCGGACTCCGGGTGGCGACTTCGGGCTGGCGGCTGGGACGGCGCGGCGTGGCGGGGTGTCGCCGAGAGGAAGCCCGCCACGCGCGGGGGAAGGCCGGCCCTAGCCCCCAGCGAACGCCGCTGCGTCGGGGAGCCGCGGGGCCGCGTGGTCGGTGGCAGGCGCGCTCGGGTGGGTTTGTGGCAGAGGCCGAAGGGGCTGGCGGCGTGTGCTTGCGCTTCTCGAGGTCTGGGGGCAGTGTGATCCGCGGGTTGTGCGCGCGGGTGTCTGTGTGTGCGCGCGCCGGGCGCGTACCTTTACCTCTGACGAAACTGCGGTGGAGCACCCGCCGTGTCGCCGGGCTCCGTCACACGCCCCGCGCCGGTGTCTGCGCCGAAGGCGGGTCCCAGCCTCTGTAGCTCCGGAGCCGACAGCCTGGGCTAGGGGGACTGGATCGGGGGCGGGAGTGGGGGGCAGAGTTGCTCCTGGGAAGATACTGTCCCTTGATACTGTCCCTTGATATTGTCCTGATCAATTGCCTGGGGGCGTCTCCGAATCTCTTAACTAAGACTCGGGAGAGGGAGGCCTGAAAGAGCCGGAGACTCGTTCAGAGACCCGATGGCAAGAAAAACCTTACCTGTTTTAATTCCATCTTCAGTGTTGGACTCAACAATAATTATTTGCCCCTTTAGCCTAGCCAGCAGGGATATTTCACCCAAGGAAACTAGAAAATTGGGCAATCACATGTCAGTAGGATCAGTGCAATGAAAGTTAATCTGGGACATTTGCTTTTTTTATGTAACCACGTGACAGGCCGAGGATCTTCTGGTGATCTTGGCCAGCCCAACTTGGGAAATGTAATTGATAGGACGAGCTTTGCAGCCGCCCCTAGAAGGCTCATGGAGCCCAGCCAGAAGAGGACCTGGGCGGACCATTGTGCGCCGCCTCATTTTACAGTTGGAGAAAGAGGCCGTGAGGGGTGAGCGGCTTGTACGGGACCACGCAGCCAGAGGGTGACAGAGCCACCCAGGGCTCCTGACTCCAGGTCCTGTGTGTTACCTCGAAATAGCACTGGACTTGGAGTCAGAAGGCCTGAGTGGAGTCACCTTCCCCACTCTCTGGCTGGGTGACCCCGCAGCAAGCCATTTTAGCCCTCACAGCCGCATTTCCTCCATCTGTCAAATGGGGTTGGCGGTGCCGGCAGGAGCATCCAGTGGCTTGGTGGTAGGGGTGAGCACTGTTTGCATGTGAGATGTCTGGTTGTTCCTGTGACCCCTCTCCTCCCCTTGCCCTTCCCTGACCCTCCTCTCCTCCATTTCTCCCTTTGTGAGCTTTGGGAGAAAGTGGATAGAATAGTAATTCATTGTCTTTGTCCAGAAGATTTTTGTTGTGTTCAGTGGCTAATCCAGGGTTTAGATTAGAAGGAGGACTTCTGTTTAGGAGACTTAACTTTTACCCACTGGGACCAAAGTACAGAAATTTCGCAGAACAAGGATTTTGAAAGTGTCTTGGAAAGGTTTGGGTCATCTATCCCAAAGGACTTTGTGTGGTTTCACCTTTGCTCAGGCTGTCCCTTGCCTGGAGTGCCCTTGCCCACCCATCCTGCATGGCCTTCTCTAGTAGCCTCGCAGCCTAGCTTGCCCTGCTTTCTCTCTTATGGTTTTCTTTGTGTTATACGACCAAGCACTTTATGTGTGAGTCCAGTGTCCAGTAAGATTCTAGAGCTTGAGTTGTACCTTTTACCTCTTTGTGCCCACATGGCACCTGTCAGCATGCTGAGCCGTGTTCCTGTGCTCAGCTCTTGGCTAGGCACATGGATTACAGGCAGGGTACAGCTGGGCCCTGCCAAGCAGAAGGACCCAGGCTGGCAGGGGAGACAGCTGGGCAGTGAGTGTGGGGAGAGCGGAATGCAAAGGGCTGCAGCTGTGGACAAAAGCTCACGCTCTGAAGGCCACACAAGTAAGCCCACACTAAATATGGGCCGTTTGAAGTCGCTTGGGACATCGGTCATAGATGCCCAAAATGTCAGACTTGGCAGGGACTTCAGAAATCATCTGTTCCAACCCCTTGTCACTTAAAAATATTTAATTATAGAATTGTTAGAAAATACTGCCAAGCATAAAGAAAAAAATTAGAATTATGTAATATGACCCAAAGATAACCACTATTTTTTATGTATATTTCCAAACTTCTTTCTTTTCTATTCATGTAGATCACATCTTTTTTTGCAAAAATGGAGTCATTCTGAATGTACTAATTTATAACTTGGAATCACACTGTTTTGTAACTTGATTCTTCTCCTCCAAACCAAGATGCTGTGAACATCTTTTCAATCAATAAATGTTCTACGTGATATCTTAATGGTTACGTGTTATTTCATTGACAGTTGAACCAAAATGTGTTTAATCAATCCTTTATTGTTACTCATGTAAGTTGTTTACAATTTTTTTTTTTTTACTATCGTAAGCAATGCTAAAATGGGTATCTTTGTGTATATATGTTTTTTCTTTCCTTTACATTCCTAGAAATGAAATTACTCCATCAAAGGGACTGTGCAGACGTTTGGTAAAAACCCCTTCCTGGATTGCCTTCTAGAAAGATTGTACTAATTTATACGCCAGCATTGTGTGGGACCGCTTGGTTTCTCACATCCAGATAACTCTTGGTATTTTCATTGTTTTTCATTTTTACCAGTCTGTTCATCAATAAATTCTGTCACTCTTACGGTTTAATGTGCATTTCTTTGATTACTTGTGATGCTGAACTTTTTCCCTTCTGATCATGGGCCATTTGTTCTGTGAAATACGGCGTTTGTGAACTTGGCCCATTTGCAATTGATATCCTGTCCCCTCATTGTTCTAAAGCTGGAACTGAGCATCCTGCCACAGGGAAAACTGGGAAAAGGGCTTGAAGTCCTAGTGTTCACTTGTTAGGTCTGAAATATTGCTGCCTCCACAGCCCCTGAGGCCAGGGCCAACTTGTTTCCAAGTCAAATTTCTAGCCCTGTGTAGGAGCAGGGTACATTTGTCCTTTGCTGGATGCATTTGTCTACCTTTTCATCTCTGGGAGACCAGGGACAGTAACTTCTTCACCTGAGCCCAGGAGGGGCCATGTTCACCGGAGACCTGGCGTCCACTTTCACCGGGGCTCCCTGGCTGGTGCTAATGATTGGGATGCCTGTGAAACCCAGGAAAGGTGACTTGGCCCGGCAGCTGGGCCCTGGGGGCTCATGTTTCCCCTTTACCTTGGGGCCCTGCCCTCCCCAGCAGGTGCAGGCCAGCCAGAAGTGCCACTCTGCCACCATGTGAGTCACCCTTTTCCTTCTCTCTCTGAAATGGTAGAAAGAATACTGGCCTGAGTCAGAAGCAGCCTTGCAAATGGGGGGTCAGGCCTGGGAGCGCATCGCGAGAGCATTGCAATGTTCACGGCTCTCATCTCCTTCATCATCGTCATTATCAGCGATATTTATTGAGTGTCCTCTAGTTCCCATGCACTCTTCTGAGCCTTTTATTTGCACTATTACATTTCATTCTCACAGAGATTCTGCAAACTGTAGGTGCTATCTTACAGTGGTACAGATCTGACAATTTCAGAAAACTTACTGCTGACTGCGTTACCTACATTACCTTTGAGCACGCGGAAGATCCA